CCAACAAAACCTTTCACAAACTCTCTGAAAGGTTTTCTTCACACCGAGATGTCCTCCTGATGGACTATCGTGAAACTGACAAAGTACTCGCTTTAATAACCCTTCTTCTAAAATAAAAGAGTCACACTGAGTCCAATATGACTTAATTACTGAAGAGAGTTTGGATACTTCTTGCCAGGTAGGTCAGCGATGTTCTCTTTCAATTATCGCATCTTCTTTAAAACTTGATTGATAAACATTGATTGTTCTTTATGCTATTCAATAATATCTCGGTATAAGAAGTAGAGCTACACCAGTTTCTGGGCCAAAATCGCGCTTTTCTTATGGAAATTAACATGGGAATTTCTAAGGTCCGAAAAGGCATTTTTGTCACTAGATTTAGTAACTTTTCAAAATCTAGTAACTTTTTTGAAGGTTGGTAGCACTGCTTTTTTCCACTAGTTTTTATGTTGGTAACACTGTTTGTCACTAGATTTTCAAAATCTAGTAACTTTTCCTAGTCACCTGTCATATTACGTGTCATCCATCTCTCATGCTGCATCTATATAATATATCAAAGCAACCACCATACACCATTTTATAATAATTTTATTTTTTAAACCATTTAATTTTTTTTTTTATTAAAAAAAAATCTGACTACACGGGGGATCGATCCACCGACCCAGAGATTACCAGTTGGCGCCTTAGACCGCTCGGCCACGAGGACATTTAATAATCATTTACAAGATGATGTATATAATCAACGTCATTCTACGTGATATATATAGTTGCCATTTGCAACTACACATGCGCAATGCCAAAAGGACCTAAGCGTGTATCTTTATTGCTATTCAAACGGCATTCAGCGTGAACTGGCTTCTAGCTGTCATTTCCAACGAAAGAATTATCATCAAAGTCAAAAGGGCATTAACGCTTATAGTGTGTGATACGTCGTTGAAAAGGTCTTAACGTACAGAGTAAGGAAAAAATAATGAAAAAATTCCAACTGCCCCCCTTTCATCCCCACGACCCCCTCATTGAAAAATTGATCAATCATAGTGTGTGATACGTCGTTGAAAAGGTCTTAACGTACAGAGTAAGGAAAAAATAATGAAAAAATTCCAACTGCCCCCCTCCCTTTCATCCTCCACGACCCCCTCATTGAAAAATTGATCAATAATAGTGTGTGATACGTCGTTGAAAAGGTCTTAACGTACAGAGTAAGGGAAAAATAATGAAAAAAAATTCCACCTGCCCTCCTTCACCCCCACGACCCCCTCATGCTTATAAAATATAAAACATGTGATACGTCGTTGAAAAGGTCTTAACGTATACAGTAAGGGAAAAATAATGAAAAAATTAAATCTCCTTTAACAGAAAAATCATGCGCAATGCCATAGGACCTTAGCGTGTATCTTCACTCGATTTAAGTGGGAAAAACGGGGGGTATGTGCACCGAAAAGTTTGACGTTTGACGACTGACGTTTCACGTTTGACGTTTCACGTTTGACGTTTCACGTTTGACGTTTGACGTTTCACGTTTGACGTTTGACGTTTAACGTTTGATGTTTGACGTTTAGTTTCTGCTAGTATCAAGCGTCAAGGTTAACAACCCAGATCTCCGAGAGGAGGCGTATCCTACACCCGGTTTTTAAAGTAAAATAAGTATAGTATTCAGTATTGAGATCTTTGCATCTAAAACACCTACAAACAAATAAACTTCAGATTATTGATTCATAAGTCAAACATATTAGTTTGATATCTAACCAAACACTCTAACTCAAAAAATATTTCTATCAACATGTTTTAACAGCAATTCCTTGAATAGCATACTAAACTACACTACATATTAAAATTTCAGGAAAATCAGAGCTACATGCTGAATGGTCACGTGGTTGACCTAATATATGTTGTAAAACGTTATTAGATGCCTAAGGAGTTTAATGGTACCGTCAAACTTCTTATCGCATTTTGATCTGGAGGAAGTTTAGTTATAGACGCAATATGAAAAATTTTGATGCCATTGTATTCTATTTGCTTCCCAATATGCACTAGAGGTTTTGTTTACTCGACCAAAAGCCTTTTCAAGGTTAAAAAGGTTGTATCTTTGCATCTAAAACACCTACAAACAAATAAACTTCAGATTATTGATTCATAAGTCAAACATATTAGTTTGATATCTAACCAAACACTCTAACTCAAAAAATATTTCTATCAACATGTTTTAACAGCAATTCCTTGAATAGCATACTAAACTACACTACATATTAAAATTTCAGGAAAATCAGAGCTACATGCTGAATGGTCACGTGGTTGACCTAATATATGTTGTAAAACGTTATTAGATACCTAAGGAGTTTAATGGTACCGTCAAACTTCTTATCGCATTTTGATCTGGAGGAAGTTTAGTTATAGACGCAATATGAAAAATTTTGATGCCATTGTATTCTATTTGCTTCCCAATATGCACTAGAGGTTTTGTTTACTCGACCAAAAGCCTTTTCAAGGTTAAAAAGGTTGTATCTTTGCATCTAAAACACCTACAAACAAATAAACTTCAGATTATTGATTCATAAGTCAAACATATTAGTTTGATATCTAACCAAACACTCTAACTCAAAAAAATATTTCTATCAACATGTTTTAACAGCAATTCCTTGAATAGCATACTAAACTACACTACATATTAAAATTTCAGGAAAATCAGAGCTACATGCTGAATGGTCACGTGGTTGACCTAATATATGTTGTAAAACGTTATTAGATACCTAAGGAGTTTAATGGTACCGTCAAACTTCTTATCGCATTTTGATCTGGAGGAAGTTTAGTTATAGACGCAATATGAAAAATTTTGATGCCATTGTATTCTATTTGCTTCCCAATATGCACTAGAGGTTTTGTTTACTCGACCAAAAGCCTTTTCAAGGCTAAAAAGGTTGTATCTTTGCATCTAAAACACCTACAAACAAATAAACTTCAGATTATTGATTCATAAGTCAAACAGATTAGTTTGATATCTAACCAAACACTCTAACTCAAAAAAATATTTCTATCAACATGTTTTTAACAGCAATTCCTTGAATAGCATACTAAACTACACTACATATTAAAATTTCAGGAAAATCAGAGCTACATGCTGAATGGTCACGTGGTTGACCTAATATATGTTGTAAAACGTTATTAGATACCTAAGGAGTTTAATGGTACCGTCAAACTTCTTATCGCATTTTGATCTGGAGGAAGTTAAGTTATAGACGCAATATGAAAAATTTTGATGCCATTGTATTCTATTTGCTTCACAATATACACTAGAGGTTTTGTTTACTCGACCAAATGTCTTTTCAAGGTTAAAAAGGTTGTATCTTTGCATCTAAAGCACCTACAAACAAACAGACTTCAGATTATTGATTCATAAGTCAAACAGATTAGTTTGATATCTAACCAAACACTCTAGCTCAAAAAATATTTCTAACACCATGTTTTAACGTCAATTCCCTGAATAACATACTAAACTACACTACATATTAAAATTTCAGGAAAATTAGAGCTACATGCTGAATGGTCACGTGGTTGACCTAATATATGTTGTAAAGCGTTATTAGAGACCGAAGGAGTTTAATGGTATCGTCAAACTTGCGCACCAAGAGAATACGCTGAAGAAAAATAAATTGATTGTAACCATTAAGACACCACCCTGTATCATGCATTATAAAATTTAATTTTAAACAAAATAATATAGTCTCGCTGATGACAAAACCACATTTGTTGAAACTTGAAAATTGATAAAATATTTCCCAGACAGTTACACGGGAAGTTAGAATTTGATAAGAAAGTTCTCAAAACAATAAAACCACATTTACAGGAAGTTATAATTCTGTTAGGAAAATTCTCAACCGCATTCACAAGAAATGTTTACTGATATAGCAGTTGTTTTTGAATAAAAGACTATTCATTGACGTCACAACAACGAAGATATAAGACCTGGAAAACACATCGTTTCTCAGTTTTCGTCTCACCAGCACCGAGAACAGTAACAGCAAGAACAGATCACCGGTTTATTGATATAGCAGTTGTTTTTGAATAAAAGACATTCATTGACGTCACAACAACGAAGATATAAGACCTGGAAAACACATCGTTTCTCAGTTTACGTCTCACCAGCACCGTGAACAGTAGCAGCAAGAACAGATCACCGCAGCAATCCACAACAACAGCAACAAATATTTGGTGCGTGTTAAAGTTAATATACAGTGACGTTAAGGTAAGAAATATATATTTTATTATTAGGTTTTCATCATCTTTTTGTTTTCTATCAAATTTAATTATAATTTATCCTCTAAATAGTAGATTTTTCTCAATCCCTTTGCTTTTGAAGCAATTTTAAAGTTTACTGACTCTCTACTTTCTATGTAAACGATTTTTTAGTATATTTTTTAATTTCTTTTTGTAAATACCAGATTTTGTTTTTGAATTTAATCATAATTTTTCGTTCTATGTAAACGATTTGAACGTATTTTTAATATTTTGCTATAATTTTCTAAATATTTTTAATCAAAATTTTTTAAATTGAGAGAACTTTTTATTCAAAACTTAACGAGGTATCTTTAATTACAGAAAGGAAACATAAACCAATAATTAAATTGAATACTCTACCTATTGGAACTCCATTTAAAATTATCCAGTCAAAAATAATACAAGGGAAATTTGGCCCAAGCATTTTGGTTGAACTGGAGCACAGTGTAACATTTTTACCACAACGGGTTGTAGAAACTTACAAACCATACCTACATCACCTCACAGACAGGCAGTACAGTCTCACATTCAGAGGAACCGTTGACACAGGAAAACCGCATCCAGCTGCATCTTTTGAAATTGTCGAAAATTAAGGATAAAAGGGTAAGCGATTTTTTTTTAATATTTTTTATTTGCCAGTGTTAAAATGAATCCTTTTAGTGTTATTAAACAATCTGACGGGGTATTGTCGGCTATAAAAAACTTAGAAAAATTTTATTCGATAATTTTACAATTAGAGATGCTGAGGTTTGGCTAAAACGACTACAAAGACAGATTACATCATGTAATAAAGCAATTCGTAGTAGACGGCAATATAATTTATCTATTGATGCTCTACGTAAATTGGAAACTAATGTGGGACATTTTAAACATTTTAGAAAATTAATTTTGAATAGACATATTGGTATGGACATACAATCAAAATTGGGGCAACGCGTAAAATGGGCTAATGTAGAATCTAGTTTTAAAAGTAGAGCTACAACCGGAATTATAGTTAATTTACGTCATAAAGACTTAGATTCATTTTTGGATGATTGTGTAATTATTTTTAAAAATAAAATTAATAAATTTTTAAAAGCAAATCAAGCACTTAAAGCTAATACTACATTTTGTGGCGAATTCATCAAAAAATCTAACGATAATGAGATTTTAGATTTAAAATATTTCAATACTAAAAATGCTGTTATTGATAAATCGACTGAAATAACAGAGTGGTTTAGAGATAATGTGCAAGATAAAATTTTAAATAAATTGTCGGAATTTTCGGAGAAAGATAGTGGGTGGGCATTAAGTAAAATCGTATCATTAGCAGTAAACGTAAATAAATATGAAATGGATGAAATTTTAAAAAAACAAGCTTACATTAATATTAAAAATACCGATCAGGCTTTCTGCACATAATTTCAGATCGCAGCGAATTGTGTTTTTGTAATACATCTTCACCCCTTACAAAAAGCACACGGTTGGATGTTGAGAATTCTTCTTAAAACAAATTGTAGCAAGAGGTTTGTTAACCAACGATATATATGGTTGCACACAGAACTCGCGATGAAAATCGGAGAATCGAAACGATTAAAGTGTATCTTTGTAGGGTTGTATATATGTAGACTAATACGATGGGTATATTTTCATTTTACTGGCTAATTATGTTTAATTTTAGTAAAGTCTCAGCTATTTTAGAAAGGGTAAAATTCATAGATTTGATTGTTAAAGTTCTTTATAAATCTAGACAATTTTTAGCAATAAAAAGGAAAAAACAGAAGATTCTGTAGGGAAGGAGAGGAAACATTTCATTTTTACTTAGTTTTTAAATTTAAACAATTTAACTAATAAAAATGGAAAAAGCAGTAGGATGGAAAAATGAAAACATTTAATTTTTCTACTTTTTTTAAATCTACACAATTTTAATTATTAAAAAGGAGAAAACTATAGGTTCGTTAAGGAAGAAAACATTTTATTTTTCTACTTTCTAAATCTGAACAATTGTATTTATTAAAAAGGGGGAGAACTGTAGGATCTGTAAGGAATGAGAGGAAACATTTTATTTTTCTTTGTAAATCTAGATAATTTTAAATAATAAAAAAAAGGAGAAAGCAGTAGAAATGAAGAAAAGAAAACATGTTATTTTCTACCTAAAAAGTTCTTTCTAAATCTAGAAAACTTTTTAATAATATTAATTCTACTATTAAATATGAAGGAAACTGTGGATTCTGCTAGAAAGGGGAGAAAGCATATATGTTTTCTCGAAATAATTATATATCATTATGATATATTCAACGCCGTCTTCTTTATAGAATCTTTCAAGAGGTACGTCTCTAGTATTTTTCAACATTTGCTTATTGATTCGTATTTCTTCGTGCTTGTTTTGCCTTTGTTCTCACAATTTTCGTCTTTGTTCAACAGCATTTTTAAAACTATTAGATTTTGTCTTATTTTTAAATAGAGGTCTAATGATGGAACTAAACTATAATTTGTCAGCTTAATGCCTTAAATGCCCTCTTGAAACAAGGTGGGCGCGAGGTATATCCAAAAATTTGTTTGTAAAGTTGATGGTCCTTAGGAGTTAAATTTGTTGGTTTCTTAGAAAATAATAATTCATATAAACCAGGAGTAGCATTAAACTTGGTATCACCTAGAACTATATTATGTTTATCAAATTTTAGTTCCTTAGTACCCATTAGCCATTTATTATCTATATAAACAAGTCCTTAACAGTTATCATAATTGATACATTTTTAGCCATAATTTTCTAGATATTAGTTTTTTTTTCTGCTTCGTTTACTTCAACTATTTGTTTTAATGGTTCTATCACACTGTTTAAAAAGTTCAGTTCTTTTCTATCAACTTCCATTTTCTTCAGGGAGTTATACTTTTTTGAATAACACGTCTAAGTTCTACAATTTTTCGTTTACGTGCTGCATCCACTGACATCTTCATAAAATCTAATGTATTTTTATGGTAACACACACTAATTTATACTGTGACCTACGGTCTTCGACTCTTCTTTAGAGAGGTCTTCAGACATCTTTATAAAATATATTGTATTTTTGAGGTAACACACTAATTTATACCGTGTTCTTTTACGGTGTTCGACCCCTCTTTAGACGTCTTCAGATATCTTCTGAAACGTTGTTCAGAGGTCTTTAGAAACGTTCTTCAGAGCTCTTCAGGTGTCTTCTGAAACGATCTTCAGATGTCTTCAGAGGTCTTCAGAAGTGTTCAGATGTCTTTAGATACGTTCTACAGGGGTGATCAGATGTCTTTAGATACATTCTTCAGATGTCTTTAGATACATTCTTCAGATGTCTTTAGAAACGTTCTTCAGAGGTCTTCAGATATCTTCTGAATCGTTCCTCGGAGGTGTTCAGATGTCTTCAGAGGTGTTCACATATCTTCTGAATCGTTCTTCAGAGGACTTTAGAAACGTTCTTCAGAGCTTTAGGTGTCTTCTGAAACGGTCTTCAGATGTCTTCAGAGATATTTAGAAACGTTCTTCAGAGCTCTTCTGGTGTCTTCTGAAATGGTCTTCAGATGTCTTCAGAGGTATTTAGAAACGTTCTTCAGAGCTCTTCAGAGGTCTTCAGAGGTGTTCAGATGTCTTCAGATATATTCTTTAGATGATTTTAGATATATTTAGACGTCTTCAGAGGTCTCCTGAAACGGTTTTTAAAACTTACATTAGCATTGAACGTAGAAAAAATATACTTTGTTGAAGCAAATCCTACATTATTAGAGTAACAGATTCATGATTAACATGTCATATGGTCTTACGACTTCAAAACTCACGAAAATATGATACATATTTCCAAAAAATCCCAAAAGATACAATGAATGACGTAATACCCGTTTAAATTTAGTCAAAATCTGACCAATACTAACAAAGATATGTGGTGCTTAACACAGGTGACGATTGTAACAAAAAATTCTACTCGTTTAAATTTAGTCACAATCTGATCGATACTAATAAAGATAAGCGGTGTTCAACAACGAATGACATGCAGATGAGTGTTGCAGCAAAAATTCTTCTCAGTAACTTGCTAAGTCATTGAGATTTCTTACAATGACTAATGACGAAGTATGTCTATAAATATAAATTACATCGATAATAGCCGAATACTTAGGTCCTTACGGCTACTGAGCCTAATTTTTCTCTTCAGCGTTAATATACGTCACGTTTCCGTTACAATGTTATTTTTCCCGTTTAATTCTATCCGATAATAGCCGCTACTAAGGTTCTTCTGGCTTTGCACATGGTTTTTCTCTTCAAAATTAATCGTTCTCTACATAAAGTCGTTTGTTCCGTTTAAATCGGGCTAATAGCAATAAAGTTTGATGTTTTTGTCTATTTTACTGTTTACTACTTTTTATCTTCGGCGTTAATCTACGGCTCGTTTCCTTTACAATGTCATTTTTTCTCGTATAACTCTATTCGATAATGAAAATATTAATTATTATAGAAAGTTTTATTACCCAAAATTTACAATTTTAAAATTATACAATTATTATCTTATATCATTATATTAAATATTCAATTGTCTTAACAAAAAAAATGTTAGATTCTTCCGCTTCTATAAATAAAAAATCGTTGCTTTCAGTGACACGTCTAGAATTGTTTTTCTCATTGATCAATTTTATTTTCTCTCTAAGATGATAAAGACTAAAGCTGCTCATTTATTGTTGTTAAAAACTTTACTTTGAAATTATAAAGTTTATGAACGTTATACATGTGTTTATAAATGCATGTTCGGCCCATTACTTTTCCACATTCTTCACATTGAACAGGTTTCCGATCATATGTCCACTGCCATTTCTTAAAGTCCTCGTAATTGTCCCATGAGTTTGAGTTAAATGGAATCCATTTTCCGAAATTTCTGCCTTCCGTAATATAACATTTATCACAGTGTACTCGTCCTGTATCAGGATACGTCTTGTGACAACGCTCACAAATCTTCTCCATGTCTGCTCAGTACGACAAGTAAATATAGAATGAACTAGAAATAATTTTTGTGGTCCATACATAGACATTCAAAATTAATGATAGTTTAATTACAATACATCAATAGGGAAGTATAGGATATAAATTTATTAATAATTGAGAAGCATTTGACACTTTTTCTCGTTTTTATACGATGAAGAAATAATTGATTTCTACAGATCGCAGTTCTCTCATTTCAAAATGTCTCCTAAAAAAGTGCTCAATTTGACGATTAGCGTTAAAATGCACCATTTTTACATGTTTTCTTATGACGAACAACACACAAATTTGCTAAAGTCAGGGGCCTTTTGAAAACATTTTTAAAACCATTCAGTCTTCCGTCCGACCAAAAGTTTACCTTATACCTATTAACTTTTGTCATTCTATTTCAGATCGTTGTGGTGTTCAGTCGTGTTTGCTGAAGTTCTTGGTGAGATTTTTAGAAAATTTTGAACTTTTTATATTTTCAATTTTTATCCTACTTCGTGAATTTAGTTCTTACCATTTTTTGCCACAGACATTTTTGAATTATTTCCATTTGTAACAATGGACCCTCCAAATGCAATTGTTGATAAAGTTCAGACCCATCTCAAAGATCTTAAATTACACTCTGCAGCGTCTATAGAGTTTGGATTAAAACTATGTAATAACGCTGTTCGAGCTCTAAATATACACTTGAAACTTGCTAAGTCAATATCTGAAAAGCAACATATCACAGCATGTCATGCAAAAATTAAAAGTTTTAAAGCTTCATATCAAGCATCACGCGCTATCGGCTTTGGAGATCCACAAAAAACAGCTAAACATAATGTAAAATGGGATGATTCATTCTCTGCATTTAAAAATCGAGTAAGAACTGGAGTTATTTCCAATCTACAGCATATAGATCCTAATCTGTTCTTGAACGATTGTGTACAACTTTTCTGCAGACGAATTAAAATTGCTCTCAAGAAACATGAATCATTTAAAATTAATACAGTTTTCTGTGGGAGATTTGTTATTGAGAAAGCTGATGAACAAATTTATGAATATAAATGTTTTGAAACTCCAAATTCAGCTGTTTTTAGAGACACTGATTTAGCGAAATGGTTTAAGACCAATGTTCAACAATCAATAATGGGTAAGTTGGAGGATTTTCAAGAACAGCTGAGTGGATGGGCATTAGAAAGTATATTAAATCTACAAGTTAATATTAATAAGTACAACCCGTTGAAGGGATCATCATATATCGAGCTACCACATCAAATTAAAAAAAAAAAAGCATGCATTAATATCAAAAACATGGATGATGCTTGTTTTGCTTGGGCGGTCACTGCAGCATTACATCCAACATCGTATGGTAGTCACCCAGATAGGGTTTCATCATACCCTCACTACTCATCAGTACTGAAACTAAAAGGAATTCAGTTTCCGATGACGTTAAATCAAATTCCCAATTTTTCGAAACAGAATAATATATCAGTCAATGTCTATACCTTACGACTATGTAGAAACAGATATGTTACAACCCCTCTACGGCTTGCTAAAGAAAAGAAGGCTAATCATGTAAATCTACTGATGATTTTCAATAAATATTATGATGAATACTATAATGATTGGCTTGAGAATGAGGATGTGGGTTTTGATACGCACTTTGTTTTAATAAAAAATTTAAGTCGACTCGTTTCTACACAAATTAACGAAGATGGGCATAAAAAATATTTTTGTGATCGTTGCTTCCATTGTTGTTATACAGCTAAAGGGTTCGAACAACATACAATGGATTGTCGAAAAACAATTGTTTGTAGACATCGAATGCCAAAAGAAAATGATCAAGTTTATTTTAAACATTATAAAAATAAAATGAAAGCTCCCTTCATGGTTTATGCTGATTTGGAATGTGTGTTGAGATCTACTGACGACCCTAAAAAATATCAGAAACATGTTCCATGTAGTATTGGATACTATTTGAAATGTTCTTATGATGATAGTTTATCATTTTATAGATCATACAGAGGAGAAGATTGTATGCAATGGTTCACTAAAGAACTTGAACAACTGGCTGAAGATGCAGAGACTGTTTTTTTATGTCCATATGATATGAATATTACCCCTGAACAGGAAATAAAATTCCAAAAAGCAACACACTGTCATATTTGTGAAAAGCCCTTTGCTCAGGGTGATAAGAAGGTTCGTGATCATGATCACTTAATTCCTGAAAATAACTACCGTGGTGCCAGCCATGATACTTGTAATCTTGGGTTTATAGATAGCACAACCATTCCCATAGTATTTCACAATTTATCAGGATATGATTCTCATTTTATAATTAAAGATATTGCCGTCAATTGGGAGGGGAGCGTGGATGTACTTCCATTGACTAAAGAAAAGTATATATCCTTTACGAAACATGTTCCTGAAAATCTGATTAAATTCAGGTTCATCGATTCTTTTAGATTTATGAATTTAGGATTAGAAGAATTAGCCTCATATCTGACGGAGTTTCCACACATGAAAATGGAATTTCCAGAACTTGATGATGAGCATATAAATTTATTGAGGAAGAAAGGAGTATTTCCGTATGATTACCTCGATAGTGTTAATAAATTTAAACAGACAACTTTACCAACTCATAAAGAATTTTATAATAAATTATGTGATGAAAATATAACTGAAGAACAATATACTCACGCACAAAATGTCTGGAAGAAATTTAATATAAAGACGCTCGGCGATTACAGTGATTTATATTTAAAAACAGATATATTATTACTAGTTGAAATTTTTGAACAGTTTAGATCAAGTTGCCATCGAACTTATGGGCTTGATCCAGCTCATTACTTTACATTACCCGGCTACACATGGGACTGTATGTTATATAAAACTAACCAGAAATTGGATTTATTATATGATTATGATATGCAGCTGTTTATAGAAAAAGGCACTCGAGGTGGTTTAAGTCAAGTTTGCGGAAAGAGAAGAGCTCACGCGAACAACAAGTATCTTCCAAACTATAACTCGACCAAACCCTCCAAATACTTGATGTATTTTGATTTAAATAATCAGTATGGGTGGGCGATGTCGCAATATCTGCCTTATGGTGGGTTCGAATGGATACATACTAATATTGACGTCACATCCATCCCTGATGAAGGTCCAGAAGGGTATATTTTAGAAGTCGATCTGAAGTATCCACAACATTTACATGATTTACATAAAGATTTACCGTTCTGTCCAGAAAAAATGGCACCGCAGGATGCCGCTAGAACCCATGTAAATGATATGATTCAAGGAATGAAATCGCATTTATCTAAAGAGGAGAAACTTTTGGCAACTCTGGGCGATAAGAAAAATTATGTAATCCACTACAGATATTTGAAGCAAGCGTTATCAAGAGGACTAGTACTATCTAAAATTCATCGGGTCTTAAAGTTTAATCAATCTCCTTGGTTAAAATCATACATTGATTTCAACACAGAGCTTAGGAAGAATGCCAAAAACGAGTTTGAAAAGAATTTATTTAAGCTCATGAATAATGCGGTCTTTGGTAAGACAATGGAGAATAAGCGTAAACATTCTCGAATCGTTCTAGTTAGAGAGTATGGTGGAAGATATGGTGCAGAAGCCCGAATTTCAAGCCCGCTGTTTAAAAGTGCAACTGTATTTGATGAAAACCTTATTGCCGTGGAGCTCCATAGATCTGAAGTATTTTTTAATAAGCCGACCTATGTTGGCATGAGTATTTTAGACTTGTCTAAAATTGTCATCTATGATTTTCATTATGAGTATATGCTTAACAATTTTCAAGACTGTTCCATTATTTATACAGACACTGATTCACTTATCTATGAAATTCGAGATCAGGATCCCTATGAGATGATAAAAAGAGATTGTTATCAATATTTCGATACTTCCGATTATTCTGAAAATAACATTTATGGAATACCGCTTGTAAATAAGAAGATTATAGGCCTAATGAAGGATGAAAATAAGGGCGCTATAATGACAGATTTCATCGCGTTGCGATCTAAAATGTATGTTTTAAAACTTCATAAAAGCCCTGAAGATTTGAGAAAGGAACGAAATAGACAGCAAAAAAGTAGATGTCCTGACATTGAAAGAGCGATGGCTAATTTTGGCGTTGGAAAGAAAATTAAAGGGATTAAGAAATCTATTGTTAGGAACAAGATTACATTTGAGGACTACGTTGAATGTCTGGAAAAATGGACTGAGAAAAGAATTAATCAGAATTTAATTAGATCAGACAAACATTATGTTCACTCTATTACCCAAACCAAAGTAGCTCTTAGTCCATTTGATGATAAAAGATATATAATCCCCGGAACGTATGAAACGCTACCGTGGGGACACTATTTAATTAGATCTACGAATGATGCTAATTACTATTTAGATCATGATGATCCTATGGATGAGGATCCTATCTTTTAAATATTTCACATTTTATCTAGTTTTATATATATATATATATATATATATATATATATATATATATATATTTTAATAATTTATTGAGTGATAGTTTTTATTTGGTGCGTAATATAGTGGTTAGATAATCAAGGGAAAATAATAAACCATGTACATTAATTTCATGCTTCCATCGTCTCCTAGGCACAAACTAGAGTCGATTAAGTTAGCATTATCATCAAAAATAAGTAAAAGAGCCATTACCATTCGGTATTCTATATATAAATTAGAACCGATTAGGTTTTTAAAGATGCCAATTCCCATCGGTATCCTAGTGACAACCTAGAGCCGATGAGGTACTTATAGTATCCAAAAGAGTCATTATTAAAAATAACTAAAAGAGCCATTGCCAGTCGGCATTCTATATACAAATTAGAACCGATTAGGTTTTTAAAGATGCCAATTCCCATCGGTATCCTAGTGACAACCTAGAGCCGATGAGGTTATCATAGTAATCAAAATATTCATTATTCATCATGAAAACTTATATTCTTCTTTGTTTAGTTAACCAACATATTACAATCATTTTTTATGGTTTTGTAGGCCTATCGGGGAAGCTTTCCACTATAAAAAAGCAACGCGCTGTGAGTTCTATCTCCTTATATTATAGGTAATTGACAAATTACTTATAATATATAAGATGGTGTGGAAACGAACTTCTGAAAAATATCTCGTCAATTAAAAATTGTTTTATTGTTTTTTTTTTTTTTCAGATTACGAACCACCTCTATGTTTATTACTACATAAATATTTGTTATCATTAGAACGAATCGATTATGATATTTATTAATAAATATTTTTAAATAATATTTTTTTTTTATTATTATATTTATATTTTTATTTAAATTTTAGGAAAATCAGAGCTACATGCTGAATAGTTACGTGGTTATTGTAAAGTGTTACTAGATATCTAAGGAGTTTAATGGTATCACCAAACTTCTTATCGCATTGTGATCTTGAGGAATTTTTGCTTCAGATAATTTAAGAAAATTTTTAATGGAATTGAATTCTATTTGCATCATACTATACATTAGAGGTTTTGTTCACTCGACCAAATGTCTTTTCAAGGTTAAAAAGGTTGTATATTTGCATCTAAAGCACCTACATACGTGCAGACTTATTTGATTTATGAATCAAACTGATTAATTAGATATGCCTCTTGCTGTATCAACTTTATAGTTTGGATTGTGTTAAACACCTTGTAAAGTATTACTCGTGTCCTTAAGAATCTATTGGTGTCGTTAAAACACTTATCGCATTTTGATCTTGAGGAATTTTAGATCTGCAAATTTTGATGACATCGTATTCTATTTCCTCCAGGTTACCTTGGAGAGATTTTGTTTACTTGACCAAAAGCCTTTACCAAAGACTTTGAAACGGAATGAAACGTAACGAAACATAACAAAACGTCGATTTTGTTATGTTCTTTACATAATGTCGTTTTCCTCGTTTAAATCGGACCACGTGATACACGCTTAGGTCCTTTTGACATTGCCACTGCGCATTGTGAATGGCAAGACGTCTCACGTAGAATACCGTTTTCCCCCGTTCAAATCAGACTAACAAAATATAAGCTTAGGCCCTATTGTCCTAGACATATGATCATTGTAAATGCACACCTGTGTTGTGTGCGTTGCGTGCGTTACGTGCGTTGCGTGTGTTGCGTGCGTTGCGTATGTTGCGTGCGTTACGTGCGTTGCGTTAACAAAGATATACGTTCGATGCCCTTTTGGCCTGTCACTGCGTAGGTGGTCCGTCACTGTGCATGATTTTTCTGCACGACGTTTTTTACATATTGACGTTTTTTTTGTGCATGATTTTACTGTACGTTTTTTTATATATTGATGTTTTTTCCCCGTTTGAATTGGACCACGTGATACACGCTTAGGTCCTTTTGACATTGCCACTTTGCATGTGCACTTGCGAACGGCTGAAGATACGTGCTAAGGCCCCTTTGACATTGCACAAGATTTTTCTCTTTTACGTTAATCGTTCTTTACGTAATGTCGTTTTTCCCGTTTAAATCGGACCACGTGATACACGCTAAGGCCCTTGTGGCATTGCGCATGATTTTTCTGTTAAAGGAGATTAATTTTTTCATTATTTTTCCCCTTACTCTGTACGTTAAGACCTTTTCAACGAGGTATCACATGTTTTATATTTTATAAGCATGAGGGGGTCGTGGGAGGTGAAGGAGGGTAGGTGGAATTTTTCCATTATTTTTTCCTTACTCTGTACGTTAAGACCTTTTCAACGACGTATCACACACTATTATTGATCAATTTTTCAATGAGGGGGTCGTGGAGGATGAAAGGGAGGGGGGCAGTTGGAATTTTTTCATTATTTTTTCCTTACTCTGTACGTTAAGACCTTTTCAACGAGGTATCACACACTATAAGCGTTAATGCCCTTTTGACTTTGATGATAATTCTTTCGTTGGAAATGACAGCTAGAAGCCAGTTCACGCTGAATGCCGTTTGAATAGCAATAAAGATACACGCTTAGGTCCTTTTGGCATTGCGCATGTGTAGTTGCAAATGGCAACTATATATATCACGTAGAATGACGTTGATTATATACATCATCTTGTAAATGATTATTAAATGTCCTCGTGGCCGAGCGGTCTAAGGCGCCAACTGGTAATCTCTGGGTCGGTGGATCGATCCCCCGTGTAGTCAGATTTTTTTTAATAAAAAAAAAAATTAAATGGTTTAAAAAATAAAATTATTATAAAATGGTGTATGGTGGGTTGCTTTGATATATTATATAGATGCAGCATGAGAGATGGATGACACGTAATATGACAGGTGACTAGGAAAAGTTACTAGATTTTGAAAATCTAGTGACAAACAGTGTTACCAACATAAAAACTAGTGGAAAAAAGCAGTGCTACCAACCTTCAAAAAAGTTACTAGATTTTGAAAAGTTACTAAATCTAGTGACAAAAATGCCTTTTCGGACCTTAGAAATTCCCATGTTAATTTCCATAAGAAAAGCGCGATTTTGGCCCAGAACTGGTGTAGCTCTACTTCTGGTATAGTATCACTTAAGATGAATCAAATTGTTTTATATTGGGTTGAAAATATCGTCTGAAAGAAAACGACTAAAAAAATGGTTACCTTTTAAATCT